GACTGTTTCTTTTGCTGTGCAGAAGCTGTGGAGTTTGATTAGGTCTCATTTGTCTATTTTGGCTTTTGTTGTCAATGCTTTTGGTGTTTTGGTCATGAAGTCCTTACCTACACCTATGTCCTGAACAGTTTTGCCTAGATTTTCTTCTAGGGTTTTTATGGCGTTAGGTCTTATGTTTAAGTCTTTAATCCATCTGGAGTTAATTTTAGTGTAAGGTGTCAGGAAGGGGTCCAGCTTCTGCTTTCTGCACATGGCTAGCCAGTTTTCCCAACACCATTTATTAAACAGGGAATCCTTTCCCCATTGCTTGTTTTTGTCTGGTTTGTCAAAGATCAGATGGTTGTAGATATGTTGCGTTGCACCTAAACATGCTCTTACCATACAATGTAGGAATCATACTTACCCAAATGAATTGAAAACTTATGTCCACATATAACCAGCACACAGATATTTATAGCAACGCTACTCCTAATTGCTAATGTTTGAAAGCAATCAAGATGTCCTTCAGTAGGTGAATGCATAAACAAACTGGTACCTCTCAACAATGAAATATTACTCAGCACTAAAAATAAATGAGCTATCAAGCCATAAGAAAAGATGGAGGAAAAGTCAATGCAAGTTATTAGGTGAAAGAGCAATCTTAAAAAACTACCTACTTTAAAATTTTAACTTTATGACTTTCTGGAAAAGGCAAACCATGAAGAAAATAGAAGATTGGTGGTTGCCAGGGACTGGTGGGAGGAAAGGATGAATAGGCAGGACACAGAGAATGTTTAGGGTAGTAAAACTACTTTGTATGGTACTATAAAGGTAGATATATATCACTATACTCTTGTTAAAACCCATAGAACACACAACACAGAGAATGAACCCCATTGTGATTCATGTACTTTGAGGAATGATGTGTCAGAGTAGGTTCTTCAATTGGAACAAATGTACCACTCCAGTGGGTGAAGCTGATAATTAAAAAGCTATGTATGTGTGAGGGCAAGGGGCATATGGAATATACCTATACTTTGCTCTCAATTATTTTTTAAGACTAAAACTCCTCTAAAACATACAGTTGTGTTTTTTTGTTTTTTGTTTTTTTGTTTGTTTGTTTGTTTGTTTTGTTTTTGAGACAGAGACTCTGTTGCCCAGGCTGGAGTGCAGTGGTGTGATCTTGGCTCACTGAAACCTCCGCCTACTGGGTTCAAGTGATTCTTCTGCCTCAGCCTCCCAAGTAGCTAGGACTAGGTTTGCACCACCATACCTGGCTAACTTTTGCATTTTTAGTAGAGATGGGGTGTCACTATATTGGCCAGGCTGGTCTCAAACTCCTGATGTCATGATTCGCCCACCTCCGCCTCCCAAAGTGGTGGGATTACAGGCATGAGCCACCTCGCCCATCCCAGCATGTTTTTAAATGATTATTCATACATTAAAAAATTGAACCTAGTATGTTCCAACATAAATAACATATTTTATGAGAAATAACTATATTCCAACCACCCCCCCCCAAAAAAAAATAATGAATAAGGCAAAAAAAAGAAGGAATCCAAGAATGCACAATGACATTTTTCCATTGGTTTGAAGCTTGGGCTAGTGATAAATATATATTTAATGTTCTTTCACCTGCCTTAACCTGTCATTCTTTTAATCCTACATTGTTTTAAACACATTCACCTGAGACTCCAGATGGACAGGCTCAGAGAATAGAAGATTTTTCATCCTCTGAGCAGTGGGCTAAGAAAAGGTACCAGAAAGAAAGAGTAGCAATATGCATCTATCAGCTATCTGGAATGCCTGTGGAGGGGACATCAGCTAAGGCACAGGTGGCCTTTTCTTTTGCTGTTCTTCTATGCTGAATTTAAATATTATTCTCATGGCTGACCTGCAACCCTAGAATAGATATGAATTCAATATATTTTAAATATAACTAATTTGGAAGCATGATGTGATAGAGTATTATATAGCTTTTCAAATAAAGTGCCTGAAATTAAGATGCTGCTAGGGCTGGTTGATATATTATGAGGCGAGAGGGACTGTGTATTTGGCATTAGACCTGATTAAACATGAATTTACAACACTACTGGTCTTATTCCAGATTTGCAAATGACTTACCCCAAGGACTTTGGGCTCCCCCTTCAAGAACTTCTCTTGCAACCTTTTCCACAGATGTGAATGTAAGACAACCATGTTTCCGAGCTGGGGCACACCAGGGCCAGCCCCTGACATGGCCTGTTCCATTCCTTGCATGGTTGTTCTGGCAGCAGAAAACATGCTACAGTAAGAAATGTAATTTAGTATGATATCCTGGAAACGACAAAAGAAAGACATGACACTTTGGGGCTGATTACTCCCTAAGGACAAAATCTGGTTTACCTTCACCTCCTATATTATAACTGTTAGAGCTAGGGAAGTAGAAGAGGCAACACCTTAAGGGGAAAGAGAAATTTAAATCTTATATGATATCAAGATGCCAGAAGAGAGCACATGTTGACAGAAGTGAGGTAAACTAGAGAAATTTCTTCGACTTCAAATCTCAAGTCTGTTCAGATTTTATTTCTATCCCTTTTAATGCCTAGTCCCTTGATTAGAGACACTTCCTCACGAGGGGTTACTTTTATAATATTAATAAGCTACACAAATTCATCTGCCTTCCAATTTATTGTATAGCATTGTATAGTTCCTCCTTTTATAACCAGAGCATAGTTAAATTCTCAGGACTGAAAATCCTCCCATGTAACCTTATATTTTGTCCCACAAACTCTGAACTTTGGGAATGAAACTTATGGCTCTGAGTCATATTCTTGGCACCACAAATTTAAATCTCTTGTCCTATTACAGCGCTTTAAATCTTAACTTGCTGGTGCATAGCAAGGATACATAGTCATTTTTTGAGATTCTAAGCACAAACATATTACTCTTATGCCTCTTTCTCTCCTCAGTATAATGACTACAACCAAGTAATGTGCAGATAGGCTAAAGCCACATGGGAACTTTAATTTATTGTATTTCAATTTATATTTAGATGTTTCATGGTCCACTTCCATAAACTTTTAGGGATATGAAGCTTGCTAATATCCTTCAAAAGCAATTAGTCTCTGAATAAGTCTTATATTGGAGTCCATAAAGAAAGAAGCAGATATCCTTGATATAAGCCTCCAAGAAGTCCCACAGATTAGGAACATCTGGATATATATCAAATATACAATATGTAAAAAGTGTGGATAATATGTAAAAAGGTATGGAAAATGAAAACGAAATCACAAAAATGAAAAGTCAAAGATAAAGTGTAAAAAGTGACAACATATTTGCAACATGGTCTCAAACTAATTTTAAATATAAAATAATGTTCACTGAAAAAATTAGCCAATGTGTTAAATAACAAGTAACAGGTGAAAATAGAATTAGTCAACTGGAAAAAAAACTGAAGAAATCACCCCAAGATTTGAAAGGTCTAGATTAGAATTCTAGAAAATGTCAGCAAGATGGCCAACTAGAAGTTACTAACCCTCATCACCATCAAAACACACACACACACACACACACACACACACACACACACACACATCCAAAATGAATAAACAACTACATTCCAACCAAAATAAATAAAGAAGAGCACCAGAAAACAGCAAAGGAGTAGCAGAAATCTTGTAGAGCATAGAAACCCAGGATGGCTGCATGAAGAAGGAGAGAAAGCATCTTTCTTCCACCACCCCTGACCCCAGTTAGAACCAGCTCTGAGTTAGGAGGCCTTCTTCCAGCAGGGAAAAGGTAAGTGTGAGCACCCCAGCAGCTCCCATCATCACCATGGACACCTGCAGTCTTACTACCGGAGACACTCAGAGTCTTCACAGGCTCTGTGGTCAGCTGACAGAGCTACCTGAAGTCTACAGGTCTATTCTATGCCAGAGGAGGTGCTGACACTGTGCCCTGACCTCCATGGCCTGAGCTGTTACTGTGCTGCCACTTCTTGGAACCAAATCTCTGCTAGAGTGTATTCTGCTCCAGGAGTGAGTAGCCATTACACCCCTCCATCCCTGAGGCTTACCCACCACTGCACCACACACAGTTGGTAGCCATACCTGAATCAAGCTGCTACCATCTACTGTTCTCCCTGAGGCCAGGCTGCCATGGAGCTGCTCCTTGCCCCATCTGAGTCACTGGTGCATCCTGCCCCTCCAAACTCAAGTTGAAACTATGCCCCACTCTCTGGGCACCCATAACTTTGATTAAGCTATGTCACCCCACCAACCAGGCAAAATACCTGCAGTGCCCCACCTCCCTGGAACTGAGTAGTGCCCTGGAGCCCAAGCTTCTGTGTCCAAGCTTCTTCATTTCTGCACTGCTTCAAGAAACCCAAGGAAAAAGCTACAGACAGACCTAGCCATTCCTGAGGACTTGCTGCTGCTATATCCAGCCTTACAGAGCTTGGGATATTGCCATGCCCTACCATCCCAGGGTCTAGAATTGCCACTATGTGGCACTCCATCCCCCAGGGTTGGAGTTGCTGCTGTGTCCTATTGGCTCTGAAATCCAAATTTTAACTGTAACTTGTGCTCCAGAGCTCAAGCCTCCAGAGAACCCCTCCTTCCCTGGAGCCATGATGATGTTATGCACTGACTCCAGAATCAGTCACAATTCCATCCCTACCCATAGGCTTGAGTTACTGAGATGTGCTCTAGTCATAGCCTCAGCTTTGTAGGTAATCTTCATCCGGCCATGACTGGGTGAGTGAACCTGTGCCTCAAGTCCCAGATGCCATAGTAGTTTTGCAAGCCCTTGAGCCTAAGACCTCAGCTCACACTGCTACTATGTCTGGAATACCTGTGCCTGGAAGGTACAAGCTATAAGCCTTAGTGGCATCCATGTGGTGTTAACTCTACAGGCTCACAGACTGCGAGAGCTGTAGGGGCTTGGCTTTCTTCACCTAGGATCAAAGAATGTCACATATAGCTACGGGAGTGGAGCCACTTCTAAGAGCCTCTATCAGGCAAAGCTGAGTGGGAATGTGGGGTCAGAGCTAACATAGAGAATCCCAATTAGGGATATGCCTAGTGGAGCCATGGGAATGGGGCTATCTTTGAGATCTCAGAACTATAGGGCCACTAGCGTGCAACTCCAACCTAATGGAGCTGAAGCAATGGACAGAGTCCAGCAAATGTGAGGTAATGGGGTCATGTCTGAGGGCCCATCAGCATTTCCAGAATTCAGGACATGGAGTCAAAGGAAATTATTCTCCAAATTTAAAACATAATTATGTTTTCCCTGTTGGGTTTTGGACTCACTTGAAACCAGTTATGCCATTTTCTTGCCTGGCTCTCCCCTTTGAACTGAGAAAGTCCATTCTATACCTGTCTCACCATTATATTTTGGAAGCAAATCACTTGTTTTAATTTCACAGGCTCACAGCTGGAAATATTTGCCTCCAGGAAATATTTGCCTCGAGTATCATCTATTTCTGCTTCTAATGACTCTGGACTTAGAACTTAAGAGTTGATGCTGGAATTAGTAAAAACTTTTGAGGGTATTAAGATAGAATTATTGTATTTTGCATGTGAGAAGAACATGAGTTTGGGGGGTTGTGTATGAAATACTATGGTCTTAATGTCCCCTCTAAAACTCATGTGAAAACTTATTTGCCATTGTAACAATATTAAGATGTGGGATCTTCCAGACATACTTACATCCAGCGACCCCCATCCTCATGAATGGATAAATGTCATTATCAGGGGAGAAGGTTAGTTATGGCAGGAGTGGACTTCTGATAAAGAAATAAATTTGGCCCCATCTCTCTCTCTCTGCTTTGCACACTCACTTCCACCTTCCTCCATGGGATTTCCCTCACCAGAGGTTTACACCATGCATGCCCTTAGACTTCTCAGCCTCTGGAGCTATAAGAATTATAATAACTACAGCAGATACATGAATAATAAAAATTTAAAAGCTTAGCATTTCATAAAATCACCAAATCACAAAGGGAGATAAGAGATGAAGAAAGAAACAACGATCTACAAAAACAGCTCCCAAAATAACAAAATGGCACTAGTAAATACTTACATATTAATAATAACCTTAAATATAAAGGAATTAAATTCTTCAGTTACAGAGTGGTTAAAATTTTTTTTTAAGAAAACAAGATCTAACTATATGCTATAAGAGACTCACATTAGCTTTAAGAAAAAACATAGGCTCAAAGTGAAAGGATGAAATATTCCACACAAATAGTAGTCAAAAGAGAAGGATTGTGACTCACACCTGTAATCCCAACACTTTGGGAGGCCAAGGCAGGCGGACCACAAGGTCAGGAGTTCAAGGTCAGCCTGGCTAATATAGTGAAACCCGTCTCTACTAAAAATTCAAAAAATTACCTGGGCATGGTGGTGGGTACCTGTAATCCCAGCTACTTGGGAGGCTGAGGCAATAGAATCACTTGAACCCGAGAGGTGGAGGTTGCAGTGAGCCGAGATCATGCCATTGCACTCCAGCCCAGGCAGCAGTGCGAGACTCCATCACAAAGAAAAAAAAAAAAAATAGAAAGATTGCCTATACTTAGATCAGAAAAATCAAACTTCAAGTCAAAAGCTGTCAAAAGAGGGAAAGAAGGTGGTCATTTAATGAGCAATTAAGCATACAGTGTAGGTAACAGTAGGCATTAATGACAAACTACCAAAATTTTTTGAGACAGGGTCTTACTATGTCACCCAAGCTGGAGTGCAGTGGCGTTAAGACTCACTGCGACCTCAGCCCCTGCCTCCAAAGTAGCTGGGATCACAGGTGCACACCAGCACACCCAACTAATTTTTGTATTTTTTGTAGAGACGGAGTTTTGCCATATTGCCAAGTCTATTCTCAAATTCATAGGGTCGATCAATCTTCCCACCTCAGTCTCCCATAGTGCTTGGATTATAGGCATGAGCCACAGTGACCGATCTTAAACTTCCAGATTTTTAACCAGACAAAGTAGTTAATTGTTGGGCCTTCAATTGGGAAAAGACACTTGCAGTCTCATAGCCCTCTTAGGGTCCCTGTTCCCTTTAGCTCTTGACACTCTTGATTAGAGACTACTTGTAGGGCTCTGAAATAATCTTCACATACTGTACCTTGCACCGCCTTACTTTTTTGAAATAGAAATTTTGAGGAAAACTAGGTATCTTCTAATTAGATCTTCAAATATTTGAAATAAAAATTACCTCTTCTCCCTTCTGGGACAAGTTGGTAAATGATCAAATTATGGGTTTTATAATAATGACTTTAAGCCCAGAGGAAGACAATTCTTCCAAATTTAACAAAATTTGAGGGTATAAATT